CCCCCCATGCTATCACTTTAGTGCAAGCAGCATCATTTCTCGCTCTACTCACTACAGGTGTCTCCCTACTTCATCTTGGTCCTCCACTCCCCTGTCATTTCTCCACACAGTGGCCATAGAGAGGATTTTAAATATAAATCAGATTCTATTACTTCTATTCTCCAAATGCTCCAGGGGTTTCTCATCTTGTAGAATAAAATCCTACAAGATCCTTCATGCTCTAGCGCCTAGCCACTTCATTAGTATCATCACTTATTTCTGTCTCCCTGGCTCACTCCGCGCTGTAACACTGGTTTTCTTGCCAGTCCTCGCTACCTGAACATTTATCCTCCACATTCCCACACAGCTGACTTCTTCATGCCTTTCAAGCCTCTGATCAGATGTTACCTCTTAAGGACACCTTCCTTCACACAATATCTTGCATAGCAAGTTGTCCTCTTCTTAGCTTTGTTTTAATGCAAAATATTTATCACTACCTACCATTACAGTCTATATCTGTTTGTTTATTGTTTGTCTCTTCCTTTAGAATACAAGTTTCATGAAGTCAGACACTTTCCAATTTGTTTATTGCTTGTATCTTAAGCTCAAAGTTAACAATAAATACTGGTTAAATAAGTGAATTAATGACTAACATACTTTCTTTAACAAGTAAGTTGGATTTTTAGGTAAGGTGGTTCACATCCTGGGACTCCTGAACTCCTAGATGTCTTTGAAGGTAGCAATTTTCTGAATTTCTAAAGGTTTAGTCAGACTATGAGTTATTCATGAACAGGGGCTATGGTTCGCTCATGGATCTATATACCTAGAAGCTGAGACAATTCCTGGAATACACTGAGCACTCAGTAGATGGAATGTAATTGGCAATGGGGAAAATGAGGAATCACGTTTTCTCAAAGCAAAGTCTTAATGATGGAAGCATATCTGAAAGGCAGAGAAACACCAAGAAAGTTTATGCAGAAGGACAATAATCAAAAATTACAATTATCTTTTTATAATGTCTCTTAATAACTACTGTTACGGGCATGTCCCT